ATCACCCAGTCATTGAAGCCAGGTCAAGTGGGTATTATCTGCAAGTGTGGGTGTTCTTGTGCATATGCCCTCTCTTCTTATCAGCTGGATGCTTCACTCCCCACTCTAGTCCTCTGTGGCTATGTCACTGACTCTGGGCCCAGGAGTCCCTAGGTCTTGCAACACTGCTGGCCATCCAGGGTTCCACCCGGATTCACAGGAGTCTATTGAATGTTGTAAGGCTTAGTTCGCAGCTTCATTGCTGTTTTTCCCTCACTTCCCCTTATCATTGATGAATGTGGTCACCAATCAGAGCGTGTATTCCCATAGAGTCTTAGTCTTGGAAGGGGATTTACTCTAAGGGGACCCAACCACTTGCCTTGATGTCTCCTGGGTAAGCAACTTGCTTGTTCTTGTAGTAATCAGTCAGTCTGCCTATATTGTTTTTTATTTTTCCTGTCAGTCTTTCTTTCAAGAAGTATCTTCTGTTCTTCTAGCCACTCCAGGCTGCTGTGCTTGTCCTTTCAAGTGGAAATTTCCCACCTTTGAAGATTCTGGATCCATGGTTTTAAGTGGAAACTGTCACTTTAAATTTTGAGGAGATCTGTGTGCATGCATAGTAAAACCCTCTGGGGGTTGGGGTAAGGTGTCCACTGGCTCAGGCACCCGCTCTAGTCACCAGAATGGAGGTACGCAGACAGCGAGAGACCCCCTCAAAAAAAGAATGTCCACACCTTTATCTCCATGATTCTGTCAGGTGTCTGTGGCTGCTCTGATCCTTCCCCTGCTTGGTCTCTCCCAAGATGGTGGCTCCAGGAGCAGCTGAGTATCTTCAATTAGAAAGCAATGGATTTCTTGCTTCTGCTACAAATTCCCCTAGCTGTAAGCCTTCCAACCTTCTAGATATTCCTTTATATGTGGTTCGGAGTTCTGGCACCATCCCCTAAGCCTGCTTCATCCAGTATTCTGTGTTGTTGCTGATGGAGCTCCTCACTGTGCTTCCACCCGATCCAACATCTTGTTTGTTCTTGCAACCTCAGCTTTTGCAGGCTTGCTCTTGAGACAGACAACCCAGTTGCACCCAGATCCCACCCTCTCTGGGGACCAAGGCCGCCATGAGCAAATTCAGGAACAAAATTATGCTTCAACACCCAGGCCAGGTCTCTGCCTCAGAAGTCAGTGCCTCTGCCATCCTCCCCTTCCTGTCCCCTCCTGGGTCACTGGTGTTTGAGGCAGGAGGGTCTGCGGTGACTCAGCTGCACCTCTCTGCTCCACTTCAGTGTGGACTTTGGACCAGGGCAAGTGCGTTGCTGTCTCGACTTCAGGTTTTAGGCTTTATCATATTTGCTGTTCTTAGATGCTCCAGAGGCCCCCTGGTTAGTGTCCTGCCCACCCTTCAACTGAATAGTACAAAAACCAGGAGGTCCACCATTAGAATTCATGCAGAAGAAGTGTCTATGTCTCTGCTGCCGCTGTCACCTGTAGGGAAATGGAGTGAGAATGGCAGGTAGCAACATTGTGTGATGGTCAGGATTGTGCTATCTCACAAACATGTTCTGTACAGAGATGACTGGAGCAAGGCGTTTGCTTCAAAACTAGGCATTGTGCTCATTCATGTCTATTTGTTCTGCACAGCACTGAGGTGGCTTTCATAGGACTTTCCTCAGAGCTGGGTTCTGAGAATTTGGAAAGCAGCCACCACATCGTGCAGTGTCCTACAAAGTGTTCAGGGAGCCCAAGGGGCTAGTTAGCCCCAGTAGAATAGAATTCTCCTGCAGACCACAAACTGTGGCTTTTGCCAACAGAGAGGGGTGGCCTCCTTGTCCTCCTAACACACCCAGGCGTTAACATGAAGTCCATGGATGTAATTGTGGGGCCTCTGTTGCAAACTCAGTCAATAATAATAATACAGGGAAGAACCAGAAATAAAAAAACAACTTCCAAAGAGCCAGGATTGTCTTGATGAGGGAGTGTTTGTAGGCCTAAAGTGCCAAAGAATTGCATTTCCTTTTTCTTGGGGTTGAAACCCATAGGTCAATGGAGACATGGTTGAAGTCAGGTGATGCCTAGGCTTTAGCATTATTGGATGGTAATGGCATTGGTTTTGTCATGTAGGTGTTGTTTAAAACTCTGGCCCAAAGCATTTGCCAATGTGAGAAGAGCACTGGTCACAAGGACTGGTACTGTCTGGCGGATGAAATCCTGATGTTTCTGTGAAATCCTCAGAGTTTGATCCTACTCAACATTATCATTACCAATTTTATGTAAGAGAAATTATTATTTATTTATCCTAGTATTCAATGTAGTAATGTCAGTGTAATAAATATTAGAACCAACTTAGGATCAACATGAAAAGAAATCAAACAACATATTGCATTGCACAAATCTGCTGTAAAAAGATTTCTTTAAAGTCTTGAAAAGCAAAGATGTCACTTTGAGGACTAAGGTGAGCCTGCCCCAAGCCTTGGGTCATAATTGCCTCATATGGCTGTGAACGCTGGACAATGAATACAGAGGGAGAATTTGAATTGCGGTGTGGCAAAGAATATTGAATGTATTATGGACTTCCAGAATAACAAACAAATGTGTCTTGGAAGAATCGTACTTAGTAAAATAGAAAAAGAGGAAGACCCCGAAGCTGGATTGACATCATGGCTGCAACAATCAGCTCCAACATAACAACCATGAGGATGGCATAGGACCAGGAGTCCATTGATCTGTTGTGCGTGAGGTCACTGTGAGTGGAAGCTGAATCAGAGGCACCTAAGAAGAGAAGATGCTTCCACAAAAGGGAAAGAAATGTTTGAGATAAAACTGATGAAGCTGGAATCACATGTGCCATGCAGCCTAGCATGTGATGTGAGGGTACATGGAATTGTGCGAATAGCAGCTTTCCTATATCTAACAACAGACAAGGTCTGAGAACCACTATTCTAGAACCTAAATAGGTTCCTGCTTTTGCCCTTAAGTTTTACACTCATGTGGACTTTCCTATCTAGTTCAGTATTAGTTTACAGGTAAAATGACCAACCATCCCAGTTTGCCTGGGAATCTTCCTGTTTATCATTGAAGCCCTGTGCCCCCAGAAACTTCTCAGTCCCAGGCAAACAAGGATGATAGGTTGGTTACCTTATTTATAGATCAAGGATGACTGAAACTCACTAGACCTCAGTAAGTGAGTGAGCTGACCTGTCAAACCCAAAGGAGAGGAAGGAGAGAAGACTGGAGTGAGTCTAGAGATGCATTAGAGGAGGCTCCAACGTTCTTTGAGAAAGAGGACAGGCCATCTCCTAAGAATGAGGGAGCCAAGTTACAGGAGCAGAGGCAGATTACCCAGTAAGAAGGTAAGCATGGGCTTACTTGTGCTTGCTCAGTAATCCGTGGTGAAGTTTCACAAGTGAAATGCATGTAAGCACATGCTTTCATAAGCACAAGTAAGCTCATGCTTACTCTATTTACTGGGTACTCCATCTCTGGCAGGATAGCCAAAAAGAGGTATTGATTCTGGCAAAAGGTGCGGTGGGGTTGGGAGAGACATAGAATGCCAGCTAAATCTAGAACCAGAATCTTTGATGTGGTGAAAAAATATGAAATTGTTCAATATAGCTTAGTAAGTAAGTACAAGTAAACCCGGGCTTACCTTACTTATTGGGTAATCCACCCACTGGTTGGGAGAGAGGCTGGGGAGAGATGAATGGGCTTAGAACAGTTGAGGAGAGGATGACCGGGAGTCCTGAAGGCTTGTCTAAGATTGAAGACCTCCTGGCCCAAAGCATCTCAGAGAGGACATTCGTTCATGACCTCCTGTTCTAGAGACACAAACAGAGGGGAGTCTGGCATGTTCTGCAGTCACAAACCACCCCAGAATCTGGTATCAGCGAAGCTTCTCCTGATTGACATGGTGGGTTGGCTGCATTCTACTCTATATCTGTCACATTTTCCGTCTGGGACGTGGGGTGATGGAGCACCTCTTTGTGTGGCAGAAGGAAAAGAGGACATTGGAAGCACATGCTGACTTGCATTTTCTGCCCCAGGTGACCCATGTCACTTCTGCTTACATTTCACCACTAATGCAAGTCACATACCTCCACCCCTGTTGACTAGGTGATGAGGGAGGGGCAGCAAAGACTGCACAATAGGAATATAGTGGACACTCTACTTGGACACTACCTGGGGGGCTGGTGTCCAAGGTTAGGACTGGCTGGGCCAGCGAGCCAATATGGTCACAATGACTGACCAGGAAGTTCAGAAGGGAGAAGCCAAATGACCTAGCACCATCCGCATCATTGTTCACCATTACTGTTGATGATGCCTTCTTTCTAAATTCTCTCTCCTGCCCCCTCCCCTTTTGTGTTTCTGTATTTGCGGTCTGTTTGTCTCGCCATGCAGGTGGAGAAACCTAGTTCCAAACCAAAAAAGACCTCAACGAGCCATAAGCCTCCGAGGAAGGCCAAAGACAAACAGGTGGTGTCAGGCCGGGCCACCAAGAAACCCAGTGCGGAGGCACCAAGTCCCGCCAAACCCGATGACAAGGAGGAAAGTAAAGAGATGAACAATAAACTGGCTGAGGCTAAAGAGTAAATTTCACTGCATTTTCCTTTTTATTCTTCTCTCCTTTCTTTCTTTCTTTCTTTTTTTTAAACCAACAAACAAAAAAAGGCCACAAAATTAATTAGAGGCTTCTCATTTGCCTTGGTCCTGAGTGTTCTAGGAGCTCTCTGGCTTGGTTACTTTTCGTGGAGGAATCCTGTTTCAAAGACTTATGTGGCTTGCCTCCTCCCTAAATCTAGACCAGAGGGCCTGAACAGGGCCAATGCTTCCTGGCTGCTGGGCCCTAGAATACCAGGACACATGCTCTTCTCCCAGACTGTACCTTCCCCTGCTGGTGAGGGGCCTGCTGGTGAGGAAGGCAGGCAAGTCTTAGCGCACATTGGCAGCACCCAGGAGGCTCCTGGTCCTGCTTGGGAGTGTCCTTAGGGTGTCCTCCTGCGAGTCTTCCCCAAAGTCTGTTTTCAGTGGTCAATCTTGAACTTCATGTAAATAAAAGGGAGCTTCAAAAAGTTCGTGGAAAAATGGAATTGCCTTTCAATCCCGTTTTTCCACGAACTTCTTGAAGCTCCCTCACCCTACCCATGATCTTTTCCCAAATTCAGAAAATGACTGTGTGTCATAAAGGCTCAACCTGGGCTTCAGCAATTGACAGAATTTGTGGGTATAGTAAAAATAATAATAATAAATAATTAATAACCTTGGCCTTAATGTCAATAAAATGAAGTGAGTTTTTTGTTAAGTTTAAGTAATTTTTCTCCTAGAATATTCTGTGAGATGTGTATGGCTGTATTTAGTTTTCAGTCAGTGGACTTTAAATTGTATATCAAGTCATAGATAGGCCACTGATGACTAACACTGGGCCAGGGTGGTAAAACGTTAGGTGTGTTAGGTACATTCTAGAAGTTATAGGAAGGTTACCAAAAAAGAGGAGATTGTTCACCTGTGTTTACCTTCAGGAGACTACCTGTCCCATGCTCTGATTGGGTAGAGCAACTGATTAAAGGTGACAAAGGAAGCAACGTGTAGAGGTAGTGTACTTAGCATGTGACTGACTTGCTTCTCAGAAACTCAAGGTGGAAAGTAGACATAGTGGTAAGTGTGATTTTTTTTTAACTCTTCCCTTTCTCAAACGTTCTTGATCTGTTCCTCAGAGAGAACAAAAGATGCCTGAGCTTCAGGTTATGGGGAAATTTCTATATTGTAGCTAAAGACTAAGAGAGTTCCCTGCTAAGTGATTAGCACGTATTTTTGGCCTCATTTATGGATAAAAGCAACTCTCGAAGTATTTATTGTGTGTCATGTGTCCCTGTGGCTAAAGCCTTCACCTTAGCTGTGCTAGAGACATGTTGTAGGCGTTAGGGAGTCGGCAGGAAAAGATACCCAGTGCTCACACCAAACCAAAACCCAATGCCATCGAGTTGATTTGTACTCTGACTGTCCATAGGGTTCCCAAGGCCATAAATCTTTACAGAAGCAGACTACCACATCTTCCTCCTGTGCAGCAGTTGGTGGGTTCAAACTGCCAACCTATCGGTTAGCAGCTGAGTGCTTTAACTATTGCATGCACCAGGCTCACAAGGGAACCTAAACACCAAGAAGAAAAATTATATTGGCAATCGTAACACATTGTGATGCATATATTGTTTCACACACTTTATTTCTCATGTCTGTAAAGGTCCTTATAGTCCCCAGCATTCTGAAACTGCTGGACTATTGTATGATATCAGGCCTTCTTTTCCTTCGTAATGAAAATAGTGAAGATTGAAGGTCTCAGAGTTCCTTACCTGAGAAGTCCTCCAGCCCTCTCCTGTTGAGAGGAAGGGTTGCTCCTTCCAGTTCTCTATCTTACTGGACCATTCAGGCAGCAAAGCCTATTTACACCATTTTGCTGGGGACATTAGGGCTGATTGAGAAGTATTTTGCATGTTAATTCAGCCCCCTGCAACCCTTCTAAGTACTGAAGAAGGTAGAAAATGTCAGTGAACCACAAGTTTTGAACACCTATCTGGAAATGACTAGAATAGACCTCAGTATTGATCTATGTGCTAGTGCATCATAACATTAACCAGACATCTCTACCAACATGTTCTTAACCTTTTTCCAAAGAACCACCAATTTATGTTTGTTCTTTCAAGATTTAGCACTAATCAGACATGTTGATGTGAGCCACAATTTGCATTTTTCCATTGCAGAATCATATTTTTTGTTAATCAGCTAAATCTAAGTTTACAGTACACAGGGAACATTCAGTCAACATACACTTATTGAATGCCTGTGTACCACGCATTGTGCTAGACATGGTGGGTAATATCAATCCATTTGTCCTCCCAGCAACACAACCAGAAGGATGCATGTGGCTTGATCCCTAATTAGAGAGCTGACCAGGGCCCCACAGACTTCTCCACCCACCTGGCAGTACTCAGGGACTAAGTTTCCTACCCTGCCCCACTTGAGGCTTTAGATGACCTGTGTAATGTCTTTTACAGCCACTGCCAAGTTGCCCAATAAGCAAGGTAACCCTGGGCTTACTTGTGTTTACTTACTAGTCTGTAGTGAGTGATTTGACATTTTTTTTTACTGCATCAAAGACTTTGCTTTCTAAGTATGGCTAACATCTATCTCTTTCCCCACCCCAAAGTTTCTTTACAAATTTACAATATCTGGCAGAAATGGAATGTCCAGTCAGCAAGGTAAAGACAGGCTTTCTTGTGCTTAATTATTAATTTGTAGTGAACAAAGTTTCACATCTTTGATCTGATGAAATCCAAATATGGTAAAAAACATGTGAAACTGTTCACTATAGATTAGTAAGTAAACTCAAGTAAGCCCACGTTGATCTTGCTTATTGGGTAATCTACCTCTGTCCAATCCTTCTGTTTCCCCATCTCTTTAACATATCCCCCTCCACAAAATAACCCTATTAGTAGTTCACTTTGACTCTTGAATGTTGGCAAGAAATTTTCCTTTGATTTCTGCTGTTTACAAAGAAAACTCAACCAGTCTCATTCTATATCCCAAGCACGTGGACTGAAACTGATTTTAGTTTCAGAGCTGTGTTTTGGTTTTTGCCTTTCTGAAGGTGCCCAAGCTTCTGATGCCTGTCCCCACCCTCTTTTATACACATCCCTCTGGTCCTGTGTGGCCCCCTAGCAAGAGAGTGAAAACTGAAGCTTTTCCACTGTCTGCTTTGCCTGCCTACAAAACTGATCCCTAGATCAGCCACGCCTTGGCTCCCCCACAGCTTTCTGACACCCGCTGGTCTGTCAGATCCCATCCGGTCCATATGCCTTTGCCTCTCCAAGGCAGACAGGAAGTGTCTAATTACCATTTTGTGGCCTGGGTTTTGTTGCAAACCACAGATTGTCTATGTAACATGTAGAATACACCTCTCTTGGTGCTATTTCACTCCTGCTGTTGAGTATGAGAATGACAAAAATATTCATGTATAGCCAATTGATTGTGACTTGCTTGTGGTCTGTGCTTGCTCAGAAAAACTAACTAACTAACTAACAGTTTTTCCAGTTATAAATAAATGCTAAAGACGAACACCACTTTCTTGATCTTATTTCCTTGGTGAGGCCCAGCTGAGTAGGTGAAGGAACCAGCCTTTGCCCTCTGAGCCATTCTCCACGAGATGAGCTGTGCCCTGCATTGCCCAGGGGGTCTTCATAATGCAGCTTGCCTCTGTTAGATTGCCTCTCAGATACTAATTGCAAGCAGTCAGAGCTAAGTGTGGGAAAGGCGAAGATGGACCAGGAGACCCACTTGGCCAACAAGGTAGTGTAACGTTTTCATCCCATGTTGTCGGGGACCAGTGACTGCCTGCGCCTAGCACCACCTCACCATGCTGGGCGGCTGGGCTCTGACCCTCTACCCACTTCCTGTTAGCTGGCAGAGATGCCTTCACTAACTAACTCGTTTAATATCTATGACCATTCTGGAGATTCCACCCTCTGGGGGCTGGCTCACTGTGTGGGTTATGGGACGCCAAATGGTTGTGTATCTAACACATGGGTGAGCTATAGCCATATAAAGACTTAAGTCAGGTAACAGGTCAGGTAGCTGGGAGCTCAGATGAAGAACAGCTTTCTTCCTGTTGGGGCTGGGGAAGCAAAGGAGACTTTGTGGCAGAGGGGGTCCTGAAGGATTGTGGAACTCCAATATGCAGGGCTTACAGAAGCAAGCCTACAGGCAGGTAAACAAGGATAGAGTTGGGAAAGTTGGGGCCTGGCTGGTAACCTCAAATCTAAAGCCAAATTTGTCTACTTTGATAGCCCTCCTGCTAAAGTAGGAGACAAAAGATTTTATATTGTGTGTGATCCCCCTTCATTTATCCAACATGTGTTTACTGAGTGCCTATTATGTGCCAGGCACTGTGCTGGGCACTAGGGACACCAGGATGTCCGGGACCCAGCCTCTCTGATCACAGTGGTACAGGGAGGAAGAATGCATACTAGCTGGTTTCATGAATCAGGGAGGACGTCAGCAGATGGGTAGGTGCTGACCAGGTGAACTGGGCTGGGGGAGACAAAGGCATGCCAGCCAAGGGAACTGCATGAGCAAAAGTGTAGAGGGCTCAAACACCAGGTGAGCCCAGGTCCTGGGGAGGCCGGGGGAGTTCACTTGAGGAAGGTCAAGGCACAGGCACACTCGGTCATGGAAAGGCCTGGAATCTCCATTCCATATGCCCGATTGCACCTCACCCTCTTGCATGCTCCTGCCATCTTGCTTCTCTCCCTCACATACACATCAGGAACCAACCACAGCCCTCTTTTGTTCTAGGCAAAGAGCTCGAGGGTGGGACTTTCGTTCTGTTGCCGGTCCTTGATTTCTGGTTAGGAATCAGGGTCACACAATGAAAAAACACTTTGTTTTCCAGATGAATAGAAAACATCCTACCCACTTGCCTGCTTTTTTTTTTTTTTTTTTTTTTAAATGAGTCAGGAAACACAGAATATTGTTTAATAAATAAAACAAATCCATTAAAGTATATTATTCAGCTCTCTTGATCTGCTAAGGGACAGAGACAA